AACATGAGGGTAGTAAACAGAGATTAATCCTCAAATAAAAGTACAAACAAAAGCATTTAACCAAATAGAGGCTAAGAATATAAATGTTTATCTAATTTATATATTAAATTTTGTTACGTAACAATATTCGACGTTCAGTTACGTGCTTATAGAAGTAAGGAGATCAAATTTTTTGTACTTATTTTGTGTATGAGTTCTCTTTGTAACTTCTATCATTGATTGATGTGTGATAAATTTATGACAACAAATTTAAGGAGGGTTACGTTTATTAACATGTGTTAAATCAATAACAGAATCACAAAGGTCACATAAGTAACACACAAAATGAGCGTAGAAGCTTTAAATTCAGAAGTAGGATTGCATGCAAGGTGGGTAGGTGCCTTGGAGCAGGTTGCAATGCTAACTAACCCTAACGCACCTCAAAATTTTCTCGTGTTTATTGAAGAATTACTTAGAGCATCAAGTAATTTATGAACTAGAGTTGGGTTTGAGTTGTCCAAATCAAACAAGATAAACTTGAATTGGGCATGTGAACCGGTACCAAGCCGATTTGCAACAAAATCTCCTACATTGTTCTCATGTTTCACTCCTAAATTTGCACAACTCAACTCAATAATTGTCTACAAGATTTCAACTAAAGATCTCTCCCAAACAGAGTTGAGACAAGCTAGCTCTCAACTCTAGCTATAGCTTGTTTCTTGAAATGATTCTGATTTATTTCAAGTTTATATTCGGGTTGGGGTTTTATACTTCATATTACTCGCTAAAACGAAGTCAAAAGCCAGAATTTTGTTTTGACGATCTGTGTTTAGCGGATATGGTTGGCTTAGATTTATATATTTCTTTACACATGAGCATTCAAACATAAAATATATCATTAAATATGACATGGAAATATCCAACAGTGTTGATAAAAGAAAGGAAATCATTTTATCATCTGCTTACCTGCGCTCCACCTTTGTTATTTTAAGGGTAGTGCTATTCATATATCTTTTTTTACCTCTCACACGTTCTTATTAATTTTTGTCTACTGATCTTCTTTAATTCATTTAATCTGACAAATAAAAATTAAGATAAGTGTGTGAGAAGTAAAAATAGTTACGTATATAACACTACTAGCACCACCCTATTTTAATCAGAATTAGATCACATCCAGATCCAAATTGTGGGGATTCTAGGGATCCTCACATCTTAGTCATTCATCGTGTATCATACGGTCAGAAATCATTTGATTTTTTTATTTAAAATTAAACACAAATAGTACCTAACGAAAACTGACCGCACGATATATTATGAAATCTGATGAAAATTGATCGCACGATATATGATGAAATCTAATCTAACCGTGTCCTTCTCGATGCATTTTCAAATAAGGCACAATACATGCATGGCCAAATAGAAAATGCCGACGCAAGTATGTACACCGGGCTTCTGAGTCTGTGACTCTACGTTCTGCCACGTCTGTGCCGACAGCATGGCAAAGGTTACAGTTTAATTCGGTTAGGTCCGTCCAGTGCTAATCATGTCCCTTTTTTCTTTTTCTTTTTCCTTTTTTTTTGAGTACGAATCATGTGCCTTGTTTGATCCCCATTTTATCACAGATTTTGTTTCTGCGTGTAGAGTGTGTGTTGAGAGAGAGAGAGAGAGAGAGAGAGAGAGAGAGAGAGAGAGAGAGAGAGAGAGAGAGATTTCTGGTGCATATTCAGCCGTGTCTTTCATTATTCAACTTTTCTTTTTAAGTTCATTATTGGTTTTCATTAGTCCAAGTCTCTCCAATCACCCATTTCATATACTTTTTTCTTCACCTCATTGAGACGCTATATACGGGGCATATTTCTTTCACATCATGCATCATAATATATGGAAGATCTTTACCATGCTTCCAAAATGTAACATGTATAATAACACAGTGTGTAAGTATACCTAATATTGCATTATTTTCATGAATAGTCTAAGTGGATTTTGTAGTGGTGAAAGTTTGGCTACCATTTCATAGATAGGTTGAATCAACGTCATTTCTGTTTTTATTTTATTTTATTTTTCTAAATAGTTTGATTAGAAGGACGCTATAAAGTTCTTGCTTGAAATGAGTAAAGCACCGTCTCAAGCTTTGGTTTTCTATTAGACTAGGCATAAACCCTCCTTATCCTTTATACAAGTGAAAAATTTAGCACCATGGCTACCACTTCACCATTCTAAGCTTTTCCATATCTCTATTTGTATATATGAAGGTAGCATTCAACCCTCACTTCTTTCTTCTATGAGAGTTTTGCATACCAATTCGAGGAAACCAAGGAATTCGATGCGCTGCAGTCAGAATTTGGGAAGGTTTTGTAATTTCTAGTTGCTTCGAATTATAGAGGCCAAAAACGTGAGACAACTTAGGGCATAGATGATTTGGAGTGAAAAAAAGCAATTGGAAGCTCAAGGGTTCTTGGTTTTCGAAAAGAAGTAAGCAGCTTTCCATGATTTTGATATTTGACCTCCTGTATGAAAATTATTTTTGCGATATATTCTGGATGCATGCATTGAATATTTTAATCTCCTGCGTATTCTCTGTCTGGGTTGAATCAACTAATTTCAATTGTAAATTAATGGGTTTAGTTTCATTGATAATTTATTTTGTCTGTCTTCTGATGTTTAGTTATAAATATGTATATGCCCTCTATTGTGGAATCAAATTGATCCAAGAAGACATGAATATCTATATCAAATATGCAATGGCTCCATTTGTTGAAAACATATTAGCATCTGTTTGGGTAGTAATTGTAATCAATTTATTGTTTTATAAAGGAATTAATTACAAACTATTTTTTCTAACTAAATTAAGTTAACTTGTATATTCTGCTTTTGTTCTTCGAAAAAGGTTAATTATATTCATAATATGACTTATTGTGTTTTTTTTTTTTAGACAAATGATATATTTACACCAAGGGGGTGGAAAGAATAAATTGGTTGCGAACTCACCATTCACGAGATTCGGACTTAAAACCTCTCACTTACAAGTGAAGTGAAATATAGCCAAACCGTAGTACTAAGCAACATGACTTATTGTATTCTTAATTTCCTTTGAATCAGACAACGAATTTACCCCTATATGCTCGTGTGTGTCCTAATTGTATTCTTTTCATAACTACTAATAATCCTGAAAAACTGAAACTTTGTCCTAAAGTTAAACCGAAAACATTGTCATATACCTTGATGTGAATCACAAAATCCATATTCTAGAGACATTGTTAATTATGTATTAAAAAACTACATTGTTAACTAATGAGGGCGTGTACAATGGGTAAAGATCATCTCGACAAGTAATACTATCAGTTGGTTCGTAAAGATTAAGGAGGAAACAGTGCAGACGTCCTAGAATATTTATCTGATATCTGCCACTAATATTTATATATGTTGTTTAATTTATTTATGTTTATCTTATTGCTTTCAAGTTTGAACATGTTTTTATGTTATTAGTTCATTAAGGTTGGATAATGCTTGAAAATAGTACTAAGCTAGTCTCTATCTGTCTAATTGCGTTTATAAACTATTAGAATTTGGAAGAGCAAGCCGATATCAACATCTCCGTGGATTGTCATGCAACTAATTGCATTTAGCAGTAATCTTTGAACTTTGTCAAACCATATCATCGGAAGTGGTAGTATTGACTGTAACTACAAATATTAGCAATTAAGGACACAATCTAAACTTTTTCTAATAATTAAGGACTCTATGTAAATAAATTTGCATATTATGTACGAAACAGTTGAGCTTTTAAAATTGATTTGTCATTGGCTGTAAGAGAAGTTTGCTACAAGTTTTTGAAGGAATAAACGATTTATGTGATTGAGCTTTCATATGGAAAGATCACCTTTGATCAAGATGTGTGACTCTTAAAAAAGAGGCATTGGTTCATAATGAAGAGATACATCGCTTTAATATGTGAACCAGATACAATAAATATACGAAGAGATACATGCCTTGAATAAATGGTTAAACCTCTCGTAAAGGTTACAACCATTTAGCAAGGGTTAAACCTATTGAATGGTAGCCTTTAGTTGCCTATAAATAGGGTTGCTGTCAACTCCATTTCATTTATTCCAATTCAATTTCACTTGCCTAAGAGAGAGTGAGAATAAATCTTCTTGTGTGATCCCCAGTCTAATTACAACAACTATCACTAGAGATTCTAATTCTTTTAGTTTTAAGATTCGTCTTTAATGTTACGTAAAACTTAGTGCTACTAATTGTATGTACCATTGAAAAAAATATGCAACTTTTGAGTTAAAATTTTTCCAGAAGCCTATTTGTCAAACTCCCTAAGTTTTATGGGAAGTTTTTTTTTAATTTTTTATTAGTACTGTGTGGTTTTATAATTTGATTTTTATATATTATTTTTCTGCAGGCAGCACATACAGGTTGGTCTGATATGTCAATGAAGATTCTAGAACAGGTATGATATACATGTCTACTAGATAGATCAAAGTGCCCTATATGTAATTACTCCCATCTTTATTGAGGATGATAATCTTGATATATATATATATATATATATATTTGAAGTAGTATATCTGGTTTCAGTTCTTACTCTCTTGTTTTGTCAGCCTTTTTACATAGGATTCCTTAAAGTTCATACTCTCTTAGATCTGGTTTCCTATATTTCTCCTCATCAACATTATGTTTAGATTCTTAACTAATTGCTAAGATTTTTCATATATATCGAGTGTTTTTATTTATTTATTTATTTATTTTGTTTTTATTTTTATTTTTTATTTTTAAGTTTTCTTTCACCTTGTATTATTGTATGTACTGCTTAACCTACCATGGCCTCTCTGTTGGTGATAAAATGTATATTTTCGTGCAGATCAGATATGGATCAGGATCCTCTCCTGAGCAAATGGAGAGGATCCTCCTGACAGGTTCCATCGGACCGTTCAAAAGTTATCAAACGGCTATAATTATTATAACTTTTAGTGGAACCTCCTGTTTGTAGCCGTTGGATAAATTTTGAACGGCCCGATGGGCCCGGTCAGGAGGATCCTCTCCATTTGCCCAGGAGAGGATCCTGATCCATCAGATATGTCTCACAAAATGGCTTGAATATATACTAGGGCCCAAGGAATGTGGGACCCAGGTACACTGAATTTTAAATTATTTATCAAATTTAAGCCAGAGTACAAAACTTAATTTAGTTTCAAAGATTGAATTGGAAGGAATAGTTGAAAATCAAGAGTATGCAACGGATGATCAAAATACTAAACTATGAATAATACTTTATTAATTGAAACGAAGAGAATGTTACAAACTTGCCTAAACGTCTCATAATCCGTAAGATGAGAAGGATTGCCATTGACCCCAAGCCAGAGTAAGAGGCCGACAACTGGGGATTGTAGAGTTTAGGGTTTCTGGTTTGAGGAGAAAGGGTTGGGAAGAGAGAAAATTAGGTGTGTTGACACTTGACAATCTCTAATTTAATTAATTTTCCAACATGAATAAACCACTATTTTCAATGTCGAAGATGAATAGCTCGTTGAGAAAATGTATTCTAATCCCTTGAAAAATGATAGAATAAAAAAGGGAGGTGTTTTCTTCATTTCTAATCCCCTCAAAATGAAAGATTATTCAACTATGCCTTCATAATACCTTGATTACACGGTTATATATCCAATACTAGTGGAGCTAAGGTGATGCAGTAATTTATAAGGGTAATGCTTTGTTGCAATATATTTCAAAAAGCCTTATTAGATGGTCAATTTGGATCACACATTCAAATGAAAATATTTAGTTAGTGTCTAGGTTAACATTAACAGTGTGATAAAAAAGAAGTTTATATAGGTGTATAGAGAATCGAGTAATTACCTGACAACTCTTTTAAAAGTGTTTTACAATTCTCTGCCTATTATGGGTCGTATCTAAACTATAACATGAGACGCATATTAAATGATAAATGCTATATCTGCCATCAAGGTGCGGTTGAAAGGGAAAACCTGAAACCAACCGGAAGTCGTTAGTTCGTGATATGTTTCTTATATGTTATATATATTTTTAACCGCAAAGTAATGGATGCTTGGACAGTCGGTGGTGGCCAGATTAGTACGACCAGTGTCTTGTTTTCTTCTGCTAGGAAGCAGGTTATCTGCTTATTCTTTTTGGTCTTTTTTTTTTTCCTTTTAGTTGCAAAAGTTTATCTATTCGGTTTTTACTCAAATTTATTAGTTTATTTATAATGCTCATACAATCTGACGGAATTGTTCTCTTTGTTTGTTTGGGAAAAATTATGAAAAGGTTGAAAATCCTAGGTCAGAGGAAAATCTACTCGACGGCTCCAAGTGTGGCCACTCTTTGTTTAAGTAAGTTGCAACATCAAATCAATTGATTAGATCATCATGCACAACATGTTCTCGTTCTTTAGAGAAGACATGCTCAATTTTTAATAGTGTTTAGCGACACCAACTTTTAAGAAGTCTACTGTTTTTGTCTCGCCTTTAACGGACAAGTACCAAATCACTTTATGAAATTAAAAGATACTTACTGGTTTAGTTAGTATTTCATTTGTTTTCTATTCGGACCTATTTTAAAACTTATTTAGACATAATATATAAGAAATTCAACACCGTAAAAAATTAGTGTCTCTAGTATCATTATTTTCTAAAGATATTAACCATGTTTTAATCTAACTGAGGTTTAACAAAAAATTATAGTACTTATCGGCCGTCACACTTTCATTAATCAAGAAATTAAAACTTGGCAAGAGGTGTTTAAGTGTGATGTAAGACAAGCATTGAGAGTAATCCAAAAGGGATCAAAGAAAAACTTGGGAAAGGAATGATTTTATTCATTTAAACTCTAGGAAAAAATACAAAGAAAAAATAGATGACTTCCATGTCTAGTGCCTGGCAAAAGGGCATGGACACAACTACTAGTGTAGACTCCAAAACTTGGAAAAGGAAACCGCCATAACGTTTTGATCGACGAAAGGGAACCATAAAAAACAAGAGTAACGCGGTGTTGAGTCAACCTCTTTTCTCATTGTCTCCAAAACCCACGTAATTATTTGTTATCAAGTCTATCAAGCTCTTTTTAATCTCTTCTCCCTTCTTCCTTTCCTCTCCTCTCTCTCTCTCTCTCTCTCACTCTATATGTCTTTGAATTTCTAAGCATGGACTTGGACCCACCATTTTACAAGGCCTACAAGACCCTTTTCGACAAAACCGTCGACAAAGCCAACAACATCAACAACAACAACAAGGAGGAGGTGTTACAACAGTTTGTTATGGTGGAGGAATGTGAGCTGCCACTGATCAATCTGGGGCGGCTGGAGCTAGGAGAAAAAGAGAGGGAGGAGTGCATGACGGAGATAGCTAGGGCATCGCAAGAGTGGGGTTTCTTTCAGGTAGTGAATCATGGGATTTCAGGAGAGCTTCTTCAGAAGATGAAGAATGAGCAAGAGATGGTGTTCAAGCAATCTTTTGATAAGAAGAGGCAAGAGGACAAGTGCTTGAACTTTTTATCGGGAACTTACCGTTGGGGAACTCCTTCTGCCACATGCCTACGGCAGTTAGCATGGTCTGAAGCTTTTCACATTCCACTCAATGATACTTCTGCTACATCAGCTTCTGGTCTCAATTATACACTCAGGTAAAGATTTACAAACTTAGAGGTTAATGATAAACAGTACCGTACGAAGGTTAAATGATACACTCAGGTACTATTGAATTTGAGAGTAATCCTAATTGTATATCTTTGGAACATCAATAGTGCCGTAACAATCCACTAAAACCATAGGTATCATCAATCAAATAAACAAGTGATATTCTTACAGTTAATAAATTATGTACTATACCCTATTAGATTTCACTAGTTAATTTTTTTATCAACTGAGTTTGAGAATTAACAGATAAAATCATTGAACATGTGACATTTTTTAATATAAAGATGAATGTATCACAGGAGCAATAGTTAGTAGTTTCAGTTTGATCAATTCGTTGAATTTCATTTCTGTATTTTGACATCTCTATACGGCATGACCTCCATCCTACTATTGCCTTTTTATGATATTTTTGCGTGTTATCATTGTTAAATTATATAATAGCAGTGTCACACACAAGTCTAAAGGTCTCTTGAACCTGGCCAAATGCATACAAAGTTTTGATAAAGTTTTGCACAAAAAATTTATATATCGAAGGAAGTTGAAGTTCCAATCATAAAACTAATTGGCAATGGGAAAAGTGACCCTCTGATCATAAGCTCTATCTTTATAATTTACATTAATTTGACCAAAAAACACTTTCTAATGTACATATATATTCTTAACATCCTCACCTCACGTATATATGGTCCTGTAGTTTTCTTGCGTTTGATTTTTGCGTACTCATGAATCCCATGGAAATTGGAAAAGTTGATGAAGCCGACTGCTAAGTAGCTATGAGTCAGCTTCTGCATCACATGCAGTGGTTTAGGAACCACAAACTCAGTTTCAGAGATCTTGTGATTCAGTACTTCTTCCAAATTTCCAGCAACATTATATATACACACACGTACATATACAGTGTGCAATGTACTCGTTTGTTCTAGATCGATCTATCAATTCTACACAGAACAGTACAGGACGTAGACATATCTTCATCATAGACTGCCAGAATTGCTTCCCTGTCATGGACAAATTACAGATATATATAGCTTTGCTGTCATAGTTTTCTACCTTACCTTTACTTGTGGTTGTAGAATTATTTATTAAGGCAAATTAAACTAATTATAATTATTTACTCCTACAGTTTTTATACTCTCAAATTAACCTGAGAGGTGAAACCCCTGTACGTAGTGCATGCATGGCCCCTCTCTCGTATAATATATACCTTCTCAGTCCTTTCCCAATTATTTATCATAATAAAGTGTATATGCTACATGGCACTAACTAAGTGAATTTCTTCAATTATATTGGTATGTATCCAGCTCAACAATAGAACAATTTGCTACAACAATTTCAAGTTTGGCAGTGAAATTGGCTGAAATTTTGGCTGAGAAATTAGGTCACAAATCAACATTTTTCCAAGAAAATTGTTTTCCCAGCACTTGCTATCTTCGAATGAATCGTTATCCACCGTGCCCCATCCCTTCTGAGGTGTTTGGATTGATGCCACACACTGATAGTGATTTCCTCACAATATTGCATCAAGACCAGGTTGGCGGATTGCAGTTGATCAAAGACGATGAATGGATCGCAGTTAAACCTAATCCAGAGGCTCTAGTCATCAACGTTGGAGATCTATTTCAGGTCAATTTTCAATCTTTTGTTCACATCATTATGTTTTATCAAACATTTATACTGGATCATATTTGCTTACACAAATAGGGCACATTTAGAAATACTTTTGTAGGAAGTACTTTTGTTCATAAGTGCTTCTACTATAAGCGATTTTGTAAAAAGTGCTTCTATAATCCATAAGTGCTTTAGGTCTTTTTAGGAGAAAAAAATCAAAGTGTTTATGGGTTAAAAATAGAACAGTCACTTCTTCCAAAAAACTGTTACGTACTGCTTCTACTTCTTCCAGTACTTCAAGTGTTTTTTCAGATTGCACTCTTGTATTTTTATTAAAAATTTGGTAACTTCTTATATAAATGCATTTATTAAAATCTAAAAACGAAGTTTAGATGACAAAAGAAGATCCTTTTTCTTATGTATATAATTAATACAAGTTACTTGTGTTATTTTTTATTAGTTTTATTATTTTCTCCTTTGCCTAGGCATGGAGCAACAATGTGTACAAGAGCGTTCAACATCGAGTTGTCACGAACTTACAAGTGGAACGATTCTCAACTGCATATTTCTTATGTCCTTCATATGACACCGTGATACAGAGTTGCAGGGAGCCTTCTGTCTATAGAAAATTCAGCTTTGGGGAGTATAGGCGGCAAGTCCAAGAGGATGTTCAAAAACTGGGTTCGAAAATAGGTCTTCCTAGATTTGTCGTATAATTTGTAATTAATTAAACCACCACAGATGAATTTTGCTAGTAAATTATTAGGCTATATATCTCGATATGTGGGGGAGAACGGATATAATTAAAAAAATGTTATGTATAATTAAGCTTAGCTTCATATTTTTTTTGTTTTTTGTTTTTTTAAGCTTAGTTTTATATTAGAAATGGAATTAAGGTTGTATAGCAGTTCAGTATAGTTAAGGGTTGTCTTTGCTGCAAATAATTAAGGGTATATTTGATATTCAGCTTGAATCCAAAATTATTGGTTGATTAGTTTGGATCGATCATTGTAAGTTGTGATAATGAGAATGTAAGGATCAATCAATGTTGGTTGTTGTTTTACTTCTTTATTCTGTTTTTTTTTAGGCAACAAAAACTTCATAAGTAAAAGTGCGTTCATAAGTCTATGAATTAGTTTGTAAGTGCTTTTAAATTATTGAAAAAGCTTTTGGACAAAATATTTTTGTGTTCCAAATTGCAAGAAGCGTCATGTGTTTCTTGTATAAAGTACTTCAAGTTTCAGGTTTCATTTGCAATTTTATTAAAGATTGATCACAAAAACATTTTTAGCAATTTTAAATGTACTTCCAAACAAGCGCTTAATTACACTCAAACTCCAAGTGCTCTTTACAGATGGTACGCACACTCCAACTTCTAGAAAACTTCTAAAACTTTATACTTCAAAAATATCTTACAATATTCTGGCGAAAAATATATATGTTAGAATAAATTAGTGCAAAAGAGTTTAGTTTACTGCAGTTAAGCCGTTTGAATGTTATCACTGCAAACTACATACTTTGGAGCTGGGAAAAAAAATGATTCTGTTTAAAAAACCCTACCTATCCTTCTCGTGTTTTGGCCGGATCTTTGCCGCATAGCAGCTGATTCCGGTCCGACGTCTGTTTATCCTTCTCGTCTTGAAGAGTTCTTCCTTATTTTGGTTTCTATTTCTCTCAAATCCCAACTATCTTAACGGTGCTCACACTTTGGATTGACGACTGGATCTAACTTTTTGGGTGAGATGGTGGTTGGGCTCGACATGGCACCCGTGACGCCACAGGATAAGCTTTGCTCATCTATGAGTATCATGAGCATTACAACTTCTGAGCTTTAGTTTGCAAAACCTCAGTTTGAATTTGTTGAATTTTTTGTATATGTTCTACTATAATGTTGAATCTGTATTGGTGGCGGAATCAACGGTCTTTTATGCATCGTTTTGTTCGTAATTATTTTCATATCATTCAACTTTGGGTTATTGTTCGTACAAATATGATTTTGAGATTGATCACCAGTTACTTGGTTCTAGTTGGAAACACTTCAAGTGTTTTGAAACTCAAAAATATTTTTTCTAAAAACAATTTTAGCAACTTTAAAAGCATTTCTAAGGGTTGGTTTGATATTGCTATGCTTTGAAGAAAAAAAACTGTTTCTGTTGTGCTGAGAATAAGCTCATTTTTGCTGCTTCACGTTTTCAACTTTTCTTTCATCCAAAACTGTGAAAATAAGCTGTTTTTAAGTGTGTTTACCAAGCACCTTTTTAAGCTAAGCTTTTTTTATACCCATTTTTTATAAAATTACATCAATACCAAATCAGTACTAAATAAACTCTGCATGATTCTATGTTATATTGCTTATACATTGTAATAACCAAAGTACCCTCTTACCCAAAGTGGTGGTCAAACCAAGCCAACTCTTACACAGCGACACGCCGTTTCAAATATGAGTGTTCTGCTAATCCGACGGCTGATATTTTTGGAAATCCAGATCTGTTGACTTATTTTATTTTGGCCTAATCGGATAAATGGTCCCCGTGATCATAAGGTATTGAGAAGATAGCCTTATGGTAAAAAAATTCGGATTTAAACCCCGTGGTCGAAGTATATTAGGATTTATGCCCTTCCGTTCCGTTCCGTTAACCCCTCGTCTCACTCTCTCTCTCTGCCCTCCCCCAATGGATGCTACTCCATCTCCGTCGACTACCTCCATCGGAATCGCTCTCAGACCTGCTCCTCCTCCTCTCTCTATCCCTATCCCTATCCCTATCCCTATCTCTTTCTCTATACCTCTCTCTGCTCCTACTTCTCCGCCTCGAATGCCTCTCTCTGCTCATGCTCTGCTTCCTCGAATGCTTATTCTCTCTCTCCGAAACCCCAGCCGGTTGCCTATTCTCTCTTTCCTCCGCTCATTCGGCCTTCTTCCTCTTGAGCTTGTTCTGTATGGATTCAATCTGGACACCTTAACAAACTTACTGAGTAAGGAGGACGAGGTGGAATACAGCAGCGGTGAGCCGCGCTCAGAGGCATTTTTGGAATCCAAGTTTGCGGAAGAGAAGCCGAGGCCTTGTTTGAATCTGGCGGCTCCTTCGCCGCGTCGAGTTAGCTTGTATTATCAGGTCTGGTGTGACGGGTTCGGGGTTCCTTCTCCCCAATGGATTGTTGGTCCCCTTCTCTCGCCGTCGACGACGAGTTCGAGAAGCTTGCCATGAGAATCAACCCCCCGATGTAAATTCACTTCCCCATTCGTTTCTGGGATTTTTCGGGTCGAATTGTTTGCTGTAAAAAATTGGCTTTTGCTTGTTTTCTTGAAATATCAATGTTTCTTGAGCTGAAATTCTCCATTTTTTTACTATTTTCTGATATGTTTTCTTGCTGATATGGGAATTTTAGGGTTACAGTTGATAATGCATCAAGCAAGAAAGCCACTTTGATTAAGGTATCTGACTGAATTTCTTTTATTCGAGAGGTCTGAGAGCGATTCCGATGGAGGTAGACGACGGAGATGGAGTAGCATCCATTGGGGGAGGGGAGAGAGAGAGAGTGAGAAAAGGGGTTAACGGATTGGAACGGAAAGGGCATAAATCCTAACGGACTTAGACCACCGGGTTTAAATCCGAATTTTTTTACCACATGGCTATCTTCCGAATATCATATCACCACGGGACCATTTATCCGAGGCTTTTTATTTTTTATATTTTATTTTGGTTGTCATTAAACGCCCTCCAACTCTCGGAATCCATTTTCAGTGAAATCCGGAGCCCCGTCGGAACCATGGCGCCACCGGCAGCGATTCGGTGGTTGGCGGTTGTTTCATCTCTATTGCTGTTCCAGCTCATCACTCCATCGACGGCCATCTACTGCGATGAGGACGACTGCTACGATCTCCTCGGGTCAGCTCAGCTCCCTCATAATTTTCCCTTTGATTCCCGAATTACCCCTGTATTGATCGCATATTTACCTACGTTTCAATTGCTTGTCTAGGGTTACGCAGAGCGCCAATTCGTCGGAAATCAAGAAAGCTTACTACAAGCTCTCATTGAAACAGTGAGTCTGTGATATTTTTACTCTGTAAATTAGTATAAAATTTGATATAAAGTCAATATCTTGATCATATTTATTCACAATTTGGTGTTGAATTGTCAGTCACCCGGATAAAAACCCGGATCCGGAATCGAAAAAGCTGTTTGTGAAAATTGCCAACGCTTATGAGGTACTTGGGATCATGTTATTTTGTGGGCAAAGATGGCAAATTTTGAAGGTTTGTTTGCCGTCTTGTGCTACTGACAATGGAGTTAACTTGCTACATTGCAGATTCTGAAAGACGAAGCGTCGCGGGAGCAGTATGATTATGCCATTGCACATCCAGAGGAGGTAAAACAAATAAACTAATTAGTCAGTAATGCATTGAGTTATAGGCTGAAAACTGGGTTTTCTTAGACTTAAGAATCGAGACTGCACGAAACAAGAACATTCTTGTTAGCTATGGTAAATTTGGATTGGTAATTTGGGTTCTTTGAACTTAGATGTTTGTGAAAGATAATAACTTTATCATGTTTTTTACTTGTTAGGTATTTTACAATACGGCTCGCTACTATCAAGCATATTATGGTCACAAAACGGTGAGAGACTTTTCTTTCTTTAGATTATAACTTCATATTCTGCCTGCTCAGAAGTAACTTTGTAAGTTGATAGGTGCATCTCCATTTCTATGTACTTTTTTCTAAAGCGGTTTATATGTTCACCTTGTAGGATCCTCGGGCTGTCCTGGTTGGCCTTCTTTTGATTCTTTCTGCATTTCAGTATCTAAATCAGTGGACAAGGTATAATCAGGTACTGTCGCAAATCAATATTATTCCTACGGGTGATTATACGCGTCTCAATGCATTAATGTTTGGCTTGTGGATATCAGTGTATTTCTTAAAATACTTGCACAACATGCCTTTGTTACTCGTGTGCTAAAGGTTTGTACTACGATGAGTGTACGTGCGTACTCTGGTGGATTCATACAGGACTTGGTCATACGCATCATTTATTTTATAACTCAGAAGCCTGCAAAAGGTTGTTTACCGTGACATTGTTGATGTTTAATACCTTTGTAGGCTGTAGACATGGTCAAGAAGACTCCTGCGTACAAAAATAGACTACGGGCTTTGGAACTTGAGCGTACTGGAGGGACTACAAATAAAAAGAAGAGCAACAGGCAGATGAACAAGTATGAACTTCTAGTCATTTTCAAAGGGAAATAATGAAATGCGTTGTTAAAAGTTGGAAATTTATCCCCTAGGATTAATCGATTGTCTCGAGAACTGCATTTTATGATTGGGTAATTGTCTTTAAAAATGGTGGATTTTTTTTTTTTGTCCGTAGGAAAGTGGAAGAAGATCTCGGCAGCGAACTGGAGCTGCAGATTAACGGTGCGGAACAACCCTCCATGTGGGATCTTCTTGGTGTCCGTTTCATACTTCTGCCCTACACTATTGGCAAGGTTAGAGTTCCCTTCATGTCATTCTAGAAATGCTGGCTTTTACGTTTAAGACAGTGATTTTACATTAATTATTACATGGATTACCAGTTAGTCTTTTGTTGATTCAGCTATTACTATGGTGTGGCTGTTGGTTCTGGAGATACAATGTGAGAAAAGCACCATATACATGGGATGATGCCTCCTACCTGACACGGAGATCCCTTGGTGCGCCTATTGACGGATGGAGAAATCTAGGTAAATAAACTTTAAATTTAAATGTTTTTCCTTTTGCTTTTCTTCTAATGGCACTATGAGTTTGGTTGGGGTTACCAACTTTAGATGCATTAGATCACCACCCATTAGGATGAGAACCAACCTTGTTTTTCTTTAGCCGTTCACCATGAACTTTTGGCTAAACTATATCTTTCATTCAAGACGTGACAACCTTAGAAAAACTGTCTATGATGCTCAAGGTCAAGGGGATAATCAAGTTCCTTAATGGAAAATTATTACATTGATTACCGTTTTGAGTTGTGAGTTCGAGAGCCTATGTGCTCCAACTTCTTACACACTTACATCCATGAGGTTCTTCATAACTTATTAATCATTGGTTTGTTTTGTCAGATGAATCAAGAAAGGAAGATCTTATTCATAAACGTTTATGGGAAAAAGCAAACTTGGAGAGCTACCTTGCGGATATGCGCAAAGAATCCAAGCGGAGAAGATAGCAAATTTTGTCGCCTATGCTAGCTTATGCTCTCCAAATACTGACAAGATAATTAGACCAAGACACGAAAGAGATGACCTATGTTTTTGTTGGAATAGCCGAGTGGTGGAGGAAGGCGGAATATTAAGATTTTTACTTGCAAATCGCTACATTAGCAAATTGTACTCTGTAACCCTTAATAGAGGAAGTTATAACTTATAAAGGCCAGATTTGTATGGATTAAATTTAAGTATACGAGACTTTGAGGTAAAAGCATTTCCGTTTAATGCCCATTGTGTGCTCAAATTGACAATGAAATATAGGGAAGAGATACAAATTTCAAAAATTTAAGGAAGAGATACAAATTTCAAAAATTTAAGGAAGAGTAACAAATAGCTTCCTTCAAAGTGCACTCCTTTTGTCAATCTGCGCTAGTGTGGTTTTGTAGACAAATTACAGGTTGACATACGTGTACAAATTGATTATTGTCGTTTTTTATTTTTCAATTTATCATTAACCTATAACGGCTTTTCATTTCAGTCATACAATGCCACATTTAAAAACATTTGCGCGATATAGAGATCAGAAATTTGCGTAAGATTTTGGACCCTATTGATTGTGTGTTTGGGTTTTATGTTTAAAAACATTAAAAACTAACTATGAATTTCCACATTTTCCCAACAGTTGGTTTTTGCTAACTTCGGCAAATCTTAGCAAGGCTGCCTGGGGAGCTCTCCAGAAGAACAACTCACAGCTGATGTCTGATGATCCGTTCTTATGAGGCAGGTTTGTCAGAAGTCTGTCATCTATAAGACAGACTTAATATCAGTAACAAGCGAAATCGAGATGTTGTGTGACTCATTACATGTATCAGTAATAAGCAAAATCAATATGTTGAAGGATGTGTGTCGTTTATATATTTCTCTGTATATAATTTGCTTCATCATCTGCTCCTGCCAAAGCTTTTGTGATGCATGTTTATTTACTTTGTGTGGCTCATCACAGCTGGGAGTGCTGTTTCTACTTTCTACCACGTACGTAAAACATGCAGTTTTGAGTTTCTTGTACCGGTAATGGGGTTCCGTCGAAGGTAATAGCTACAACCTGGCCGTTTTACTCACTAGACATAGATACTTGATTAGTATCACAGTTCGAGATGTTAAAGAAAGGAAGGAGGACATAAATGGAGTAGAAAGATATTAATTCAGTTGAGTTCTGAAGCATCGAGAACAACACTCGTGACTCTGAACTGGCAAGGAAACAGGAATACAGATTCATCATCTGAAGTAATCAAATTGGCAGTGCCTTATCAACTCCCTCCTCAGCCACGCACCGCCGAAGGTCACTTTCTGTTCTTACATTTGTACTTGTTCCATCTTTCATTCGTCTTATTTCTTTTTATCTCGTTGGCACCCTACTGAATGGGATAATGTTTTGTTGTTGTTGGTGGCAGATGTACCTCGGTCTTGGAACCGGAGGTATAATAAGAAAGATGTTACGGTCAAAGTTTGCCCGCGACATGTTCAACTGTATGCTGTTCAAGACTCCTGAAATCTTGTGTATACTTGATTACCATGTACTTGTATTTTTTTTCTCAGCTCACTCTGTTTAAATTCGAGCATACTGAGCATTTTTTCCCCTCTTCTTTTATGAGGCTGGAGATCATTTTTTAACTTTTAGGGTGACGGCCACACCACGTGTAAATCTCAAGCCCCGGATCAGTTGTAGGGTGGTTGTATGCTTTGGAATTGGATCCCCTGAGCAAACTGTGGGGATCCTTATGACCACACAACATGGGCCGTTGGATTTTGTTACAAACATGAGGGTCATTCTAAAGGTTATAATAATTGTAACCGTTAGATCAAAATTCAACAACTCGTGTTGTGTGATCATGAGAATCCCCGTCATTTGCTCAGGAAGGGATCCAATTCCGTATGCTTTGGGGCTTTTGGGCCCCATTCTCTACACCGAAAAAAATATTGCAGTAAAAGCCTCGGCTTTCGATGTGTTTTTTATTGTTTATGTTTCTAACACGTACTTAATCTAATCCCGAAGGAAATACTTATACTTGAGTCCTGGCCAATCAAGACTCATATTTCCTTACAAAAGATAGGAATTGGAATCATTTCACTACTTAATTTTTCTAGCATTTACCTAAATCGAAAAAGTGCAAGTTTTTTTAAAATTCCTAGTTAATAACCAAAAATAAAGAATCCGATTGACTAGGAGGCACTGGTTGTTTTAATTCTTTTCTTACTTCTCTTAGTTTTAAGCTTTCCGTTTCATTCCTTTTCCTCATTTCAGATAAGTGAACATGCCCCCATATTCTTATCTAACGAGATGGGACATACAAGGGAACCATGTGTTGAATTGTTATTGGTCTATGCCGTTAGGTAAGGATATGGTGATCTGATTGGTCACAAAATTTACAGGAATTTTCTTTTAAACACATGACATCACATGATTATCACTCTAATAGAAAAAATGTTACTGAGATTGTGCATTTGATACACGAGAGATTTTCCCTGATTTTATGATCAGTTTTGAATCGATGTACCAATATAACATGGAATCAAAAGTGAAAAAACAGAAACAGTTATCAAACGTCCGCTAAATAATTTCCAAAGCTGATTTAATCTGAGATAATTTTTTGGATTCATTTCTAATCCGTATGTTTGTGATCGAGATCCCTGTAACAGGTAACCACAAACATTTGAAAATTGAAACATTAAAACCTGAAAATCCGTGCAGATCAAATAATAAATGGATAACGTTCTTTGATTCTTTCTCCTTAATCCAGAAAATTTGAACACCCTTAGGAATCAAACATGCAAATCGGACGCAGTTACAACACATTAATATCGGCACCTTTTTACATGCACAAAGTTTATATATATATATATATATATACACACCTTTTCCCCTACCAAAACCCTAGCTGAACTCTGATTCCTGACAATGGATGTTAATTTTGAGCTCCGGAGAGGAAAATACTTCACCATTGAAGTTGGTTATTTTGACACCGTTCTCGAGATCAAAGAGAAGGTTCAGAAATACCAAGGGATTCCCATTTCCCACCAAACCCTAGTCTTTAACGGCCAAGTCCTCAACGATGAACGAGACGTTGCATACTGCGAGATCTACAACAATTCCAGCATCCAACTCCTGATCGCATCTGAATTTGATAAATCGATGAACAACAGTTGTAATAACAATGAGAAGGCCGCGGAGGACAAGCATAAGAAAATCCAGCTCAACGTGAAGACTCCCACGTCCAAAATCCATGTACCTATTGAAATGGACGTACACGACACAGTCTCAAAGTTGAAAGAGAAAATCCAAGCCATAGATTAGTTTGTTCCGATTAATAATTGTTTGGTGCTTCATGCAGTTGGAAACGAGTTGCACGATTATCGTTCGTTGCACAAATGTGAGCTTTAGGACAATGCGAGGATCGAGGTGAGTTTGAGATCGTCATCAGCCCCTGCAACCAATGCGGCCTCACCTGTGGCAATGAGCGGGGCCGGAGTTGGCGGCGGAGGAAGAATGGGGTCCAATAATAAGTTAAAGCTTATGGTGTTGACAAAATGCGGGACGAAAAAGATTGAAGTGGAAGTGAACCCGTCGGTTAATGTAAAAGAGCTTAGAAAAGAGCTATGCAAAGGCAAATGAACTTTCATTTGCCGCAAGAGAGCTATTTCTTCCTCTATAAGCAGAATGTGATGGAGGACGATAGGTTTTTTCAGTGGCATCAGGTTGGGCAGGGTGATATTATAGAAATTTTTAATGGTAGCGTTACCGATGGGTTCTAGATTGAGCTATTGAGCTACAACATTTTTCATTTTTTTAAGCATGATTTCTGATTTTTTTTATTTGGAATAATTAGTAATGTAATTATATTTCTTAAGTATGATTTTCTCCTAAACCCTTCTTTAAAAAGAAAATGCATTAGATACATCCAATATTGTTGGTCCCAACTCCCAACCCAACAAATTATCTTACTTATATTTTTATTTAACAAATAAAGAAGAAAAAAAGAAGAAGAAAGAAACTTCCAACCCAACATAATTATTGCCCACTTTCATAAAATCAGAGCCACCTACCCCACTTGGAATACGAGACCATGTTTCTTTTGGCACCACTCCAATGTGTAACGTTGTTAAAAGTTTAATATAATTTAAAAGTATTTTTAAAATATTTAAAAATATTTTTGATGAATGCATTTTGGAAAATTTTTTAATGAAAAGGAAGTGCCTCTCGAAATCTAAATACATTTTCTTAAAAAGCACTTTCAAATGAGTTGTTAATTTTTCTCTAATTAATTGAAGGATTATTATAATAAAAAATCCATACAATGCAAATGGAGTCTCAATATTTACAAACGACATCAAATGGTGCACAACCAGTTAAGCTAACTAATTAGTTCAACTTGGTACATTTTTTTTCTTAAAAAAAGACCAACCGGTGACGTCCCCATCGTAACCCACCCTTTTCAGGAGTAAAAAAAAACTAAAGGTTAATTTTGCAACACAAATACTAATTATCAAAAGGGTTAGTATAGATAGGACACCGTTAGTTATAATCCCAAGCATAAAAATAAACACTAATCACAATTTTACACGGAAATGTGCTACTTAAATAAAATTGTTGATAAAGCAAAAGGAGGAGTCCTAAAAAAAAGTATATTGTGCTTTAGAAATAAAATTTGAAATTTACTTTTAGATATAACTTTAATATATTGAATCACTTAGTACTACAATCTGGTATTTCTCTCCACTTGTAAGTAAGAGATCTTAGGTTCGATTATCGCTAACGGCGAATTTGAACCACATTATTACTAGCCCATTATAAGACAAAACTAATCTCCTTCTCCTCTTAATATATATAATATCGTTTGTTAAAAAAAAAATTTAATATATTGTTTAGATTTTTTTTCGTAGCATTCAGAGTATGTAATATTAAAAATATTTCAAAGATAATGCCACTTATCCGAATGATTAATAATCCCCAAAGCAAGTGGACAAAAAAGTAAAAGTGTTTATCTCGAAAATAGAATAATGTTATTCATATCATGTTTTTATATTATATTTTCATATTATTTTAGGTAGCATTTGATGTGAACCGTCACATCATTTGAATTAATAAGATTTTAAAAAAATTTCATTATTTAATAAACTAATAATTAAGAAAAATTAATTAATTAAATAATAATTATGGTATAGAAGGAATCTTTTTTCTTCAATTTTTTAGATTTTGTAAATTTTTCAAATAAGGTGGTTATTTATATTAGACGCCGTCTAAGCTGGTACCAGGATGCCGTGAACGATTGACTCATTTGAGGTCATTGATATTACGAAAGAAAGGGCGTGGATACCAAGCTTTGCCTGCCGTTCAAACCGCGCCTTCGCACCTGTTCCATCCACGTGTCGCTCAACTACTGGACCGCTTCGTCACGCCACCTCCGTTGCCGTGACGAAGTCGCCATCTCTATCGCTATAAATCCAGGCCTTGGCCTCCTTTCTTCCTCACAATTGCCGTTGTTTTGCTTCTCTTCAATCTGAAAAATCTTCCTTCAAATTCTCTTTCCAAGCTTCTTCAGCCTCTCAAGGTGCGTTCTTTCTCCCTTATTTCTTATTAATTTCTTGTTTGGTTGCTAGGAAAGTAGGAAAATTGGAAATTCTTTTGATTTGTTTGATCTTTGTGAGATTTATGACCAATCGATTTGGTTTGGTTTTGACTGTTTGGATGCGAAATTAAGAACTTAGAAAGAAATGTTCCGTGGAATTGTGATTTTTATATTCAATTTTTACGAATTATGGGTTTTCCTGTATTTTAACTCACCGATCTGCATGTCTTTTCGAATTGAGAGTAACTTAATCTTTGTATCAATTTTGATAAGTAGGCTTTATTTTGTATCGGATATCTAATTTGAAATTTGTTGTTGATCAATTTGATTTTGTTAATTATATTTTATTCCGTATAAAATTGTGGGGATAAATTGAGCAACTTTGGAGGAAAATTTGTGTTTTTTAAATTGTGGAATCGTGTATGAATGGGCTTGTTCTTGAATAAATTTAGAGCCTTTAATTTCTTAAGCATTCATTTTCAAATTGGGGGTTTTTTTTATGTGATTTCCTGAACTGTAATTTGTAATTTTGATTGAAAGATATTGTTCTGATGATAATTTGGCTTTTGTAGATGCAAATCTTTGTGAAAACCCTCACCGGAAAGACCATCACCCTTGAGGTGGAGTCTTCTGACACCATCGACAACGTCAAGGCCAAGATCCAGGACAAGGAAGGGATCCCCCCAGACCAGCAGCGTCTTATCTTCGCCGGAAAGCAGCTCGAAGACGGCCGAACCCTCGCAGACTACAACATCCAAAAGGAGTCAACCCTCCACTTGGTGCTCCGTCTGCGTGGTGGCATGCAGATCTTTGTCAAGACCCTCACCGGTAAGACTATCACCCTTGAGGTCGAAAGCTCCGACACCATTGACAACGTCAAGGCAAAAATTCAGGACAAGGAGGGCATCCCCCCAGACCAGCAGAGATTGATCTTTGCCGGAAAGCAGCTAGAGGATGGCAGGACCCTTGCCGACTACAATATCCAGAAGGAGTCGACCCTTCACTTGGTTCTCCGTCTCCGTGGTGGTATGCAAATCTTCGTCAAGACCCTTACAGGGAAGACCATCACCCTTGAGGTGGAGAGCTCCGACACCATAGACAACGTGAAGGCCAAGATTCAAGATAAGGAGGGCATCCCACCGGACCAGCAGAGGCTTATCTTTGCAGGAAAGCAGCTCGAGGACGGCCGCACCCTTGCCGACTACAACATCCAGAAAGAGTCCACTCTCCATTTGGTGCTTCGTCTCCGTGGTGGCATGCAGATTTTTGTGAAGACCCTGACTGGCAAGACCATCACTTTGGAGGTTGAGAGCTCCGACACCATCGACAATGTTAAGGCCAAGATCCAGGACAAGGAAGGGATCCCACCGGACCAGCAGAGGCTGATCTTTGCCGGGAAGCAGCTCGAGGATGGCCGCACTTTGGCGGACTACAACATCCAGAAGGAGTCGACCCTTCACTTGGTGCTACGTCTGAGGGGTGGTATGCAGATCTTTGTGAAGACCTTGACAGGGAAGACCATCACCTTGGAGGTGGAGAGCTCGGACACCATCGACAATGTGAAGGCAAAGATCCAGGACAAGGAGGGTATTCCTCCGGACCAGCAGAGGTTGATCTTCGCTGGTAAGCAGTTGGAGGATGGAAGGACCCTGGCTGATTACAACATCCAGAAGGAGTCCACCCTTCACCTTGTCCTCCGTCTCCGTGGTGGTTTCTAAGTGCTGGTGTGGCCGGTGACCGTCTGCTATTTGTTCCCGTTGGAAGAAGTTTATGGTTTATATTTTATGTTTTTAAGTTTAATGGTACTGTTTTTGCCTCCTAAGATGAGGCATCTGGGCAAGTTTGTGTTATCTTATATTATGTTTCTATAAATAAATTCGGTTCCGGTTTATAATAATTTCGTCATTGAAATTTCTTGATTTGCTTGCATGGTATCCTCTCTGTCAATGGGTTGCTTTCGATTGTCTTTGTTGTTGGTGTGGTTGCTGCACTTGAAGAGGTTGGTATAGCAACCATCTCCTCTTTCTGGTTGTTAAGTTTTAGTTAATTCTTGGCTACAGAATCGGTTCTTAATTTTTTCCGGCGGCAACTGATTTTTTCCGGCAACAACGGAGTAAGATCGATACTTCAGAGTCGGAGGGATATCACGTTTGTTTTTCTTCAAATCCCTAAAACCTCTATCCCGCATTTGTTTTTCTTCAAACAGCCAATCTGCTTTCGCTTGCTGCTACCAACAGGTTTCGGTTGATTTCCCTTCCTTTAGATGCTCGGATGTTTCAGTTCGCCAAGTTCTTACACCAGTTCAGTGGTGCATGACACTTTTGCCGAAAGCCACACCCAAATGCACAGATGCTGATGATAAACAAGAGTTACACCAGTTTTAGGAAAAGAAGAAATGGACCGAGTCCAAAGTGGCTAACTTGTTTGCCCTTGATACCATCCGACCTCCAACCCATAAACAATACAAGCATGAATAATACTTGACTACTCAAAAGGTGGATAGGAGTTCTACTCAATACTGTTTGTTGTTGATTTATAGAATTTCTTGTTCATGATCATAATTTTTTGTATTATAAATCATCCTACAAAAATCGCTTTTGCAAAAATGAATTATAACTATTCTTTTAGTCGTCGAATTGTATAAAAATAAATGAACGGAGTTGATAAAAACATTACAAACTATATATGTATTTGTGTTTGGGCCCAAAATAACAGTTTGGGCCAAGTGTAGGGTCATTCTCGGCCCGGGAGGCCTTGCGACAAGAATACCATGGATCGTTCAGTACGTGGGCCTCCAAACCTAGGTCGGCTAGGTCATAACGCAAGAGGTCGAATCCTAGTGCGATAAGGAGTCTCGGCAGGACCCGGAAGCGAATCCGGCTCAGGTAAAGGACTAGGTTCACAGTCCTAGTGAAGGTAGGACTGGTCGAGTTGATGCTGATCAGGGGAAGAAAACCTAGTCCGAGGAGGTTTTTAACTCGACCTTGGGGGGAGCCATTGCTATAAATAGAAGAGGTTACACATCATTCAAGCCCCCTACAAATCAATACAAAATTGCCCTGCGCAAACTCTCACAACTTGTGATTTTTCTTTTTCCTTTTTCGCTGACACATCTTCCGTTGGCATCAACAGCACTGTGGAAGCAACCGGTGATATCTTAAGTCGGCATAGATAGCTCTGTCACCGTAGAATTGATCGGTCTTGCAGTATCTTCCGTTGGCATCAACAGCACTGCGGCGAGAACGGTTGATTACCTATCCAAGTCTCGGTCGAGAAGGGTTTCTGAACCCTTATTGGTCGAGGTCATCTCATCAGCCTTCTCGGCGAAGTGAGGTGTTACATTCGGCACATTGAAAGCCGAATTTGATATTGAACTTCGTAAGAATAGTAACCTTGTCTTCAGGTTCGAGAGCCCAAGAGGCCGAGACGTGTTCCTTTCTCGACCGCAATCGCAAGACGCAGAAGTCAGTAGCGCGACCCAACGCAACATCAACAAATTTACTCCTCGGCCGAGCTCGGCCGACGAGTTGGCACGCCCCGCATTCACTGAAGGACGTAGTTAGCTCATTAATTACTCGGCCTGCGCGCCACGTAAGCTTTGTAGTTTCTAGGGTCAACAATTTGTTACAATATATTGATTAAATGATCTTAAATTAATTAATTTTTTTTTGCAGAAATGACCAACAGAGTAATTCATAATACGAACTATTCTAATCATAAGCACAAAGCTCTGTGATCCGAACATGAAGAGTATTAAGTAGAAATAGTAAATTGTAGCTATGGTCCCTTAACTTTAACTCAATTGAAGCAATGGTCTCTCAACTAAAAATTCATTACCATTGGTTCCTCAACTCATCAAAACGTGCAGCTATGGTCCCTCAACTAAAAATTCATTACCATTGGTCCCACAACTTTAATTCAACTGGAGAAAATGTCTCTCAACTTTAATTATATAAATGGTTATTCCAACATAACTTATTTTGACAAAATTTTGACAAAATTAATGAAAATGACTATAGCTACATATTTTGATAAGTTGAGAGACAAATGGTAATGAATTTTTAGTTGAAGGATCATTGCTCCAATTTGATTAAAGTTGAGGGACAATTGCTACAATTTACTCAAGTAAAAATTCTTACTCATCCTTAAATAGGCAAGCATTGTTTATACAAAGTATATATCGTTTATGCCCACTAGCCTAGCCTTCGGCTCCGGATGGAAATGTTCTGTCGGCAGATGGTATAATGAACTTGGCTGACTAGGGGCTCGGCTTAGCGCTTCCAAACATGACTCTCTTAGTCAATTGCGGGGTTTTGTTTTCCTCCGCATCTCTCGTTTATATCTTGGAAGGCAAGCATCTTTAGTGATTGAATTTTACCTCTTGCACCAAGGTATTTAGACGTAATTAATTCCAAGTTAGTTTGCACCACATTCATACGACCTAACAGTGGCAAATGGTTACAATTCAAAGGCAAGTCGATTCCTCACAAATCGTCATGAAAGCCGGGTTTGAGTCCATTTCTTTCTTATCTTATAGCAGAAACTAAGATGTCGTTTCGTTTGATCTCTAAGATTGAATTGAAACGGATAACTCGTTGACTTCAAGGTATATTTGAGGTCATTTGTACAAATGTTGTCAGATGTCGTGTCACGCATTTTTAGCTTCTTGTAATGCTTCCAATGAGCTGGAAAATAAGTCCTCAAACTACCCCAATGTATATGGCCTCGCCGGAGTCCCCAAGGAAAACCGTATACTTGATGGCTGGGTATAGGGACTGAGCGGGCTCCACTTCACTGCTGGCCTAAACAATTAAGGATGAGAATTCTCTGCCCTCCCTTTTTTCCTCCCCTCCTCTCACAGTTTTTTTTCCCTTCTTTCTCTATCTACAAAGATGAAATCTTGAGCGTTCAAAAATGAGGGAGGAAAAAAAAAAAAAGAAAAAAAAAAAGAGAAGAGTCTTTATCCAAAAAATAATGCATACAGACGTGGGACCCAATCCATTAGAACAAGTTGGTGCATGCAGACATAGTTTCTGCAATTAATATTTTTTTTTTTTTAAACCAACGGACGCAGATAACTGCATTGTATAAATCAACAGCTGCTACGTTAACAATGATTCCTTAAATTTAAGGCCATTGAACTTAATATTATTATAGGGACCCAAATATTCTCTTAAAACCCTTAAAATAATCCTTAAAAACGGTGGCAGAGACCCTAAAATAGGATCTCCATTAAAGATGCTCTAAATATTACACCCTACTAACCTCCAAACAACAACCAGACGAAAATCAAAGGCTCTTTTCTAATCGGTTTCAACTCAAAAACCAAGTTTGTACTTTGCAGGGGACCCTCCTAATTAGATATTCTTGTATTCTGCGGCCACAACACATGGAGGACTTTGTACTACAGACACATAGAAAGCTGCGTGCCATTAAGCTGATTCTCCTCCGGCAACCAATTCAGCTAACGATCAAACCTGTATACACCCCCCAACTTCCATTCAACTTAGTCTCTGAATGGATCGGATTCTGATCAAATCCCTTCTGTAGCTTATTGAACTTGACATGCGATAATATAACCAATTTGACATAGATTATGTCATAAATTGACGGATTATATTGAATGGAGTCATATCAAATAATTTTCGGGTCGACAGAGTTTGGATTTCCTGTTCCTTAACGTGCCTAGATTCAACTACCATTCTTTGCTTCTTTAGAACCATTCGTAATCATCTATTATTATTGCTTTCAACTCTCAAACATATATTCCACTGATAAATGATTGAGACCGAATAGCACCCTGTACTTGGCTCTTATGTGACTTAATTCTTATCAAGAAATCTACGCGAAATGGCAGACTCCGAGCACTCTTCTTCCGATGACACTGTCGTGGACTCTCGAGGTATTGTTTTTCTTTCGGTTTGTTCCATCTACATGCGTTCCTTTTGCAGCCTCTTTCGTTTTGCTAGCAATTAGCCTTACAATAGTGCTGTAACTTGTAAGGGTTTTTTTTACACTGGTTTGGAGATGTTTCATATTAAAACCATGCATTAAAACTTCAAGCCGCTTTGATAACTATTGCGGTTTTAGTTTCTAGTTTATTTTTTTTCTTTTGTGAGGAATAGATGGGAAATATTAAGTGACAGAGAAGGATGAGCAAATATGGAGGAATAGTTCTCAAATATGCAGTCTATATTTACAAAGAAAAACGAGATGGTTACCACATATGCCCTTGTCCAAAACCAAAAGCAAAATAAGTTTCTGTGTTAATTTTCCTCGTTGATCATGAGTTCTTATTTCAGAGAAAAGCACAGAAAAATCTGAGCTTCAATTCTCCGAGGACGAGGAGGCACTTATCATAAGAATGTACAATCTAGTAGGGGAGAGGTTGGTCTCGTTTTGTTCTTCGAGTTGTAATTATCTAGATCGAACTGTAAGTTTTGACATTTTTCCGGCAGGTGGGCGCTGATTGCTGGGAGGATTCCGGGAAGAACAGCAGAAGAAATTGAGAAGTATTGGTCCTCTACATACTCAACTAGTCAATAAACAACAAGCTCTATTGGATGTTTCATCTGTATCCAAAATATTTACTTCTTGTCTTGTAAATTTACTACCTACGTACGTTCAAAAGAAATCTTCATTTATCACATAACAGTCGGCTAACGAACCAATAACCACGACCTTCTTGATTCGATTTTTGGTTTGAAAACTAATGAGAACTAGGTACATCAACCGTTTTTGAAAACTAAACTTAATTCAAAAAAGGGTCTCAAACCGCCCTCGAGTTTTCACTAGATGTTTTGCATGCTTACGGGCAACAACAACGAAAACGTATCCCACTAAACAGGGTCGGTTGTATGAATTTAAAACGCTAATGCGTTCGGTTTTGTGCCAAGTATTCCATT